TGTGAGATGAGACTGAGTTTTGATGGCTTTTTATTTAATCACAAGAATATCTTAACAGCAGCATTAAAAAAACAAAAACTTTTAACACCTTTAGAACTCAATTTTCTGCCTTCCAGAAGAAAAATACATAAAATATAAGAAAATAAATAAACTGCTTCGTAAAGCTCTGATCAAATAAAAATGGTCATCGCAAAGGTGAAAAAAATTTATTTTAAATGTCATACACTTTTGTTTTTAGCTCTACGAATCAAAAAACTTGAAGGTGCTTGAAGAGCTGCCAATGTTGAGGTCGTTAAAGAGCTGCTGCCATTGATCAGGTTTTAAAAATAATGATAGGGCTCATAAATCCTACAGTTTGCATGATTATGTGATGGTATTCAGGTATTTTTAAGGTTTGTGTAACTTATTGACTATTCTTATCTCAATTTTTAACTATTGTTACAGTTCTTATCTTAACCAGTTACAGGATCAGCTAAATGGAAATTAGCTAACAAATATAACTGATATTAAATGTAACCAGTTACATTTACTTGAGTAACTTTTTTGAAAAACAAAATGTATTTTTACTATGCTGTACTTTTTACTATTACCCGAGTAATTTTATTATGAAGTATTTTTACTCTAAACTGAGTAAAACTTCTGGATTTTCTACCCACTAAATGAAAAACAAAAATGTTTTAATCAGATATTCACCAGACACAGACACACACCTGCAGATTTTGATGAACTTTCATAAGTTTTATGTTTAAAAAAAACTGATTTGTGAATTTTTTCTTGTTATTTTTGTTCCTTATATGAATTATTGAAATTTTGGTTCTTAAAATACAGAAATTTTCACTTAACTTTATATTTTGGTCAGTCTGATGATGTAATGTTTAACTATTAAATGACTGATAATTTGATCAGCTACTCAGACTTTTTATTAAATACTTTACTCTTAGTTTCTTACATAAATGTGTTAAAGTAATGCTACTCTTACTTGAGTATAATTTTTGGCTTCCTGCCCGCCTCTGAGCATCTCTCATAGCAAAGGGACCAAACATGTAAAGATGAACTATTTTGATATTTACTGAATTCCTCAGTGGAAAACTTTCAGGATAAAAAGTGAAAATATTTCCAAATAAATAATCTTATTATTGACACAAACCTAAAAACTAACAGAAATTTTACAACCTGGCCTGGAAATCCATGTTTTTCTTTTTACGTCAGCTTTTATTTTAGTTGTTAGTAAAAATAATTACATTCATGCTCCTGGACTGATGATCTGTAATGTAGATAAAACATCTCTGACTCTGTGAAATGAATGTTGAAGAAAGCAGTGTTTTCTTTTGAGGCGCCGTTTTAACAGCTTCCTTCACCTGAGTCCTGACAGGCCGCCATGATGGCTTCAGGTGTGAATCTCCTGTTCGTCCTCAGAACAAACCAAGTGAATCTGACCAGCAGCGACTCTCTACAGGCAAAGCTGCTGTGTTTGCTGGATCTCCCACCAAGGCGGAAAACGTCTCCTTCTGGGCGTTTTATGAACGGTCTGTTCCCAAACAGGAACAGAAAGTTTTGGAAGAGTCCATCAAACATCCTCCGTTCACAGAACGAAGATCCTGATGTTTTCCCCAAACACAAACAGACATTTTAGAAATTTATTTGTTCCCATTTTGATTTGAAGCCTGAATTAATTGTGCAACATGTCACTGAGAGTAGTTGGGCAACATTGTTTTTTCTCTGCTATTTGACACATGTACAGTCAGAAAACAGAAGCTAGGTGCTGCTAATCAAATACACCAATCAAAATGGCCGCCTCTATATTATCAAGAGCTTTAGCCACTGACCTGGAGGAAACCTGACAAAAACAATACACAAGATGATAGACATGTGATCAATATCAATATTTGATAGTGTGATAGAATATTAAATTCAGAACAACACAGCATTCTGGGAAATGTAGGCAGATTAGCTGCTCAACCTCTACAAGCTAAGCTAGGTTGGTGGCCTGAGGGAACCCACTCACTCTTTGGTTGCCTAGCAACAACCTGCTGGACAACAAGCTGTTTCAAGTTACTCCCCTAACTGTGGTTGCCTAGCAACAGCCTGTTGAGTAACTTGTAACAGTTTTAGGATTTGCCATCATCCCTCAAAGCTGCTTAAAAATAAAAAACAACAGCGTGACGTGAAGACTGGATAAAACGGGAAACGCTGCACCACCAGCTTGGCAGCATTTCAGACAATTACAACAAAAAACTAATCAATCATCAATATCGACTGATATGAAACAGTTAACTCGAGATGCATGTTTCAGCCGTATCATCCAGGCCTGGCAGGAGTTTTAGCCACAGAGAATATTTTGATCCACTTTTTTTTATATGATGGAAAAATCTGGTACTTGGTTAGATTTTGTGGAAATTAGAAGTCAGAAGTGGATATTATTGAGTTTGTTTTAATTCATCATGCGATTGATTGATTGATTATTGCAACAGGTCTGGTCACCCAGTCAACCATGAACTCTTTTGTTTATCAAAGTATTAGAAAGTCTGAAATTTCAATTTAAATCATTTTGGCCCAAACTGGATCATCAACCAGACAATAAACAACAAAATGGCTGAAAAAAGTAAGATAGAAATCCGGGATCAAGGTAATGCAACAGATCTGAATAATGTCTGAAGTGTCTACAAACCTCAGTGAAGTGAAGCAATAATTACGGATGAGTCACGTTTTCTGCAGTAACGGGAGCAGCAGATCAAATCTGACAGTAAACAGCTACTAACAGATTTATTGCTGCTAACGAAGCACACCCATGAATCATCATACAGGTGGATTATACAAGTCATCCTGCAAACTCTGCCAATCACTTAGAGATTAATACTGAGGTGCAGAAGATCCACATTTTGTCAAAAAAGCACCAAACTAAGTTGTATTTCAGTCTCTAACTTGGGCAAAGATGCCACACTGAAGAATGTCACAATGTGCTTTTTAAAAATAACTCTGGTGTTCCCGTCAATAAATACGTCCCAGCGGAAACCAAACCCATCAATAAATGATTCCTGCTAACGAGTAGCCGCAGCTCCCGTCTTGAGGTGAACGCTTCTGGTTTGGCGTTTTTAATGGATCTGTTTTCAGAAACATGAATCTCCTGCCGCTGCAGAGCAGAACAGAAGCAGGAGTTACAGAAATTTAGCTTCAGTGTTGGGGAGAACAATTATTTATCGCAACAGGCAACATAAACAGCTGCAACTGTTGTCTGGGCTCAGACACTGACTGGAAACAAAACTTCCTGGAATGGATGCGATAATAAACTGGAAACATAAGTTTATCCGCATGGTAACGGTGGAAATAATAACAAAATAAATTATTAATCCATATAGATAACTGAGTCGTATGTTAAAGATTTTTTCTCATATATGCAAATTTCATTTTTAAGGGGCCTAAAAAAAGTTTAGGGCCCTAAATGTCTTAATACAGTGAAAAACCTCTAAAAACATTTAGAAGAGCCTATTTAACATACCATAATATGCATCAACAGAAGATAATATCTTCAGTCTTCCTTGTGTCTATGGCTTTCATCCAATCAGCAGGAAGGAAGAGTAAAGGCGATCCTGGATTGGCTGCTTAGGAAATGCCAGCCAATGGCGTGGCAAGTAGCATCTTTCCTGCTTTTTTTATTTTTCAAATATTTTAGATTTACTTTGTGAAATAATCTACAAATATGGCGGATATAATTTGGAGTTACTTTCCACAGAGAAATCTGTAAATACTGAACCTTGAACGGGTGGCCCGCTGCATTTCAGTTTATGTTGAGTCCATTTTAACCCATGAGACCAGGTGAGACTCAGCCTGCTAACAATGGCACGGCTAACAGACTGGAAAATAAATGTCTTTCAAAATAAAAGCAGAACAGCCTGATTCATCCACAGAGTTAGCGCTGCTAAGGCTACGTTCACCTTCACCTCTGCAACATCATCTTCTCCTTCATCTCCTCAACATGCATCACCAGAAACATCCAACTTCACAGAAATGGAAAGTAAATTGCTGGAAACTTCTGCTTGGGCTTCCAGCAGACTGTTGGACATATGATCGATTTCTCTGACTTTACTCTTTATACGTATATGTTTGAGCAAAATGAACACCGTTCTTCTATTCTATCATCTACTCATAACATGTGTCTGAAATTCCAAGCAAAAATTTTGTGTTTATTTGCAGAAAATGGTCAAAATAACAAAACAGATGCTGTGCTTTCAGACCTCAAATAAGGCAAAGAAGGCAAGTTCATATTAATTTAAAAACAACAATACTAATGTTTTAACTCAGGAAGAGTTCAGAAATCAACATTTGGTGGAATAACCAGGAGCTTTTCAATGCGGTTCAGTGCAGAAGTCTCTTCATGTTTCCCAGTTTTTATATTTTCATGTTTTGTTTCCAGGTTTCCTGCTGGCTGCTTGAGGAAATCTAAAGAGATGCAGGATGTAATATTCCCATCTTTGACTAAGACACTGTCCACATGACGTAAAACGTTTGGTTTGTTTGAAACTCATAAGTGGCTTAACTTGACATTAACTTCTCCATCAACCCCTAAACCAATAAAATGCAGACTTTGTGACTTTTTTCAGGCTGGGAACTCGACCGATTCTGTTCCTAAACATGGAGATGTTTGAGTGCTTCACTCCACTCCAAGAGGTTCTGGCTGGAGTTGTTCTCAGATTCCCATTCAGATGTTTTACGAGGGTTGATAGGAAGGAGACGTTTGTCAGGCACAATAGGAACTCGTGTTTTATGCTGGGAAGAGGTCTGGAGGAAACCTGTTTGTGAGCAGTCACCCGTTAAACTCCCGCACGTCACAGAGTGTCTCCCAAAACAATGTGCCATAAAAATGCCGAGTGCTGACGTAAAGAAAGGCTGAACTCAAGAGTTACAGACATCCACAGCACTTGATAAGGTCATGGAGCTTTGTAGGGAAAAGAAAGGCATTCAGGAGATGGAGAAGCAGGACTTTACAGCCGAGAGGGACTTACCAGTCCATCGCAGTTGTTAATGGCAACCATGGCTCCGGGGACGTCAGTGATGTCACCGATGAAGGTGCAGTCCGTCTTCAGCAGCTCCCGCTGAAGAATCCTCTCCGTCGCGTCGGTCCGGTTGGCGCCCGCCGTGGCGTTCCCAAACCCCAGAACCTCATCGTGCCACTCCACCATCGCCCCGGGCGCCACCAGCCGGTCGTTGGGCCGCAGCCGCAGGTGGAACTCCTTCCCGAAGGCCGTGATGTTGAAGAAGAGTCTCTGCTCGGACCCAGAGGGAAACGCGTCCCTCCTCACGCGCTGCTTGTGCGTGGCAGACAGCAGGTGGGACAGGTAGTGACCGTGGGAGTCGGTGCTGAAGGGCGTCACCAGGCCGTACTCCTTCAGCCGGCTCCTCAGCTGGTCTGGCAGAACAAACACACAACAGGTTCTTCAAAAAGCAGCAGCAGAACAGACAGCTGCTTCCTGTTTCAACAAGAAAGATTGGTAATCGTGATCAACCAGAAAACTGCAATCGATGCACCCACAGTTTCAACTTACTCAAAGTAATCATCTCAAGCAGAAAGTATCCCGATATTTAAAAGCAGGCGTGGGTAGAATACCGAAACAAAATCCTGGCTTACCGACTGATCTTGTAGGATTTTATGTAAAATAAAACTGTGAACTAATCTTTAAAATAAAACTAAAGAAGTGAGGGAGTGAGAAAAATTAGCTATTTTGTACCCATGATGGTTGATTAGTTGGTGGGACAGATGGGAGAACTATACGTTGTTTTCAACGTTACACTGCGAAAACACTACATCTTAAAGTATTTTGGTCAAATTTCTAGTGCAAATATCTTAGCAAACTTTAAATAAGACAAAACTAACTTACAAGCAACTTTTCAGCAACATATACGAGCTTATTTTAGGTCAATAACACCTTAATATTGAAAAGAGTTCTGGTTCCATTGACACTTATAAGACATTTTCCCATGTTATAAATAAAATAATGGTACAAGTACTTTTTCACAAATATTAAGAAATTATTGACTTACAACAAGCTCCCGTTTCCTTCTGAAAACTTACTTTCTCAGTACACTTGTTTTCTTAGTAAATATAACCAAAACAAACATGCTAAGCTAGCGCTAGTGGGGAAAATGAGTCGTGATTTTTTACCAAAGACAGAAGAGAAATCCTAGAACCGCTAAAATCTGACACGGCTCCATTTGTAAAGGAAGGGAAGCTCAGAGTCTTCTTCAGAGGTTTTGGTGTTTGTTCCTTCAGTGGTTTTTTATTCAGCGCCCCCACAGGCGAGGAGGGGAACAGCTTGCTCAAAGGTGGACAGTGGAAGAGAACCAAAGCAGCTAGTTAGAATAAATTTATATGTCTAGCTGACTGATTTGTTCTGTCAGCAAGCTAGCACATATATTCTTTTCTAGCTAGCTAGATTAATCTATTTGTTATTGAAATTACTGAAATTATTAAAACTGCAACACAATTCAAATATTTCTATTTTGGAAAAAAAAGAAAAAACAATCTGATGAATATTAAAATCTAATCATCATCTTGACAAAAAAAAGCACTGAAGCAGGTGTCACAAAGATAAAAACTAATTATATCTGAGGCGCAGGACGCAGTTTACAGATCACAGTGGGCATAAAGAAAGAAAAAATATAAATTTGACATACTTAGCATAAAATACCTGCAGCTTTTTACAGCTGTGACACCATAATAATACACACTGTGAGCAGCTTTAACTCCATACGCAGCCGGCTTCCTTCATTATAAACACGTCTGACAGGCAGCAGAAGCAAACCACAGATATGTCTGGGGGTTTGAATGTGCAAGGAGATCCGGGACAGAACATCCTTTTAACGGAACATTTACAAAGTTTGTCCTTAAATCATGTCAGCGTCGGCCTCTGCTAACGTCAGCGAGAAGGCTGCTTGAGATTTCCACCTGAAATCTTGAGCAACATCTGCAGGACTGATGTAATGCTCAGCATCATGACATGCGTTTCCCAACAGAGTGCTTCAACAATAAAGCTCCTGTGACGAATCTTTGAAAGATGAAATATTCTTGGTGCCAGGGGTCTCTAGGCACATCCAAGAACTAAATTCACTTCTGTGTGCTGAAATGTTATGCTTGTGTAAGCCTCTGCAGGATTTAAACAACCATTTCTCCCACCTAAAAGAAGAAACGGAACAATTTCTGTGCATCTGAGTTTTCTACGTAGAGAATCAAAGAGAATACATTTTGATTCTGGGCAAATCCTGAGTTATATATAAAACAATCTCTAAACATACAGTGAACAGAAAAGAGTTTTTATAATGTTTGATGCAAATCTATTGCACTTGATTAACTGAGTTTCAGTCGTAGGTCAGACGTTGCGAAAACCCAAAGGTTTATTTAGTATGTCAAATATTAAAGTTTATAACAGCATAATTTGAAAAACAGACTGAATAAACACTGGCACATCTAAATAAATTAGAAGTTAATTAGTTCAGCGATCCAATTCAAAAAGTAAAACTCGTTTTCTGGTAATTTGTGATTACCACTTAACAGCTACTGAACAACAAGTATTTAATTTCTGAGAAAATTATAATATTACTTTAAACCAATTTAAAATACAGAGATTATAGTACAGAAATGTTTTGATATAACTATAAAGACGACAGTCATCAACACACTCCATAGTGTCTACAGACAGCAGCTAGGTATAGTAGTGGAAAGTTAAGTGGAAGGAAAAAGTATGGTAGAACAGGCAGCTGAAACCCTATTCTGTGTGCAATACAGATATTAAAGTTTCAACATCTAAACTAAGTTTATATGAATTTAATTTTCCAATGACATTTATTGAGATTTTGCTTGTGAGTTTATCAGGCGGATGTTGTTTGTGGTTTCTGGAAAAAGAGACAGACTTTAATAGCTCAGTAAATTATGGTTCCTCAAAGACACATCGTTGTTATTTAGTAGAGATCATATACATTTTTACTAACATTTTTATGGCACCATATCAGGGTCCTTGTCAGTAGAAGGAAACGGAATAACTGTTCGCCAAAACTATTTTTAGAATCTGAGAAATTTTCTGGTAAAAATTATTTCCAAGCTCCAAAAGCTGAAAATTTGCTAGAAAAAAATCTGACATTTTGATATTAATCTCAGAAATGTTTTAGAAGAAACTTGGAAATTTCGGAGTTTAAAAACTGTGTAGAAGAGTATGATGTTTCACAAATCCACTAAATATTTATAAAAGTTAATATATTTCTGAACTAAATAATCTGCAGCTCAAAGTATCTGGCTCAGGAAAAGCATTCTTAATTTATCTTTCCTCAAATACCCAAACCAAACAAAAACAAACTCTGGATGTGTAGAAAATGTGAGAAAATGTGAGAAAGTGTTCAAATGTTTCCTGCATGGCTGCAGCTGAACACTTTACATTTACATGCAGATCAAGCAGAGCTCAGAGTAAAACCTGTTACATTATTCTGAAAGGTCACCACTTCACAAGCCATCAGCACTTTGGCTTCACATTCATGGGAAAGTGATTTAAAAACCGTTTCAATGTATTTTAATGTGAAGAGATAAATTCTTACAATAAGCAAACGCCTGGTTAGAAAGTTATGCTCAGAAAAGCTAAATTAATGCAAGAAATCCTGAAATCTGAATGTATTCTGAGCTATTCAGGAGTTTAATACTTATAATGTGTTAAATATTTATACAATATATCATCCTAACCTTCTGCAAGAACAATATTTTCCTTTATTGTCGTATTTTTAATATTTCATATGCCGTTTTGTTTGAAGCAGCAGTCCAACCTCACTGGTTGTGATAATATATATATTTCTACATTAGAAATAATTCCCCAGCAGCTGGTTGAACTGGTGAGCTTTATCTTCTTAATGTTTTTAAAACAACATTTAAGTGCAATAACATTGTCAACCACATAATTTATTATCAGTTTTACAGGTTCACATTTTCTTTAAATCATATGTAATAAAGGCCATATTGACTTGTAAACAATCTTATAATCAAACTTCTTTATTTGAGTCAGAATTACTTTCCAGTAATTGAGTTAAATAGACTTACTTAATTTCTGAGATGAAATGTAAACACCGAAATAAAGAAGATCTAAGTTGGAAGACATTTTTTAAAAATCTTTTAAATTGAACATCATCATGAAAAGTTATTTCAGACTTGAACTGGCATATTGTAGCTAACATTAAATTATATTTTCATATCAGCTGCTACCGATGATGTGTTTAATACTGAAGCAGAGAGAAAAAAGTTTGTTGGGGATGGAAAACATAAAGTAGGACGATCTCAATAATCTGCAAATCAATCAGTTTACATCATTTTTCTCTTTTTTCCCAAAACCTGGATGATAAAGTTTTCAGTCTGATAATTTTGTCTCAGCTGTAGAAGTGATTTTGTTTACACAGACTTCATAATTCATTTTATTTGTTGTTTTAAATATTTAAAATGTCTTCCAGTTCCAGATTTAAATCTTCATAAGAATTTCAGAGTTTATTTATCTTGCATTATTGTGGCACTGCTTGAAAGTTACACAATATTATCGTTTATCGCAATAACTTCTGGGACAATTTATCATCCAGTAACTTTTATTAGGCCTTCAAATGATTTAAAATACAGAAACGAAAACAGGAAGTTTTAGGCTACCTGGTTACCCAATAAGAATATTTATCTGTTCAGAGTCCAAACACACAGGAAGCAAACATGCAGAAAGACCCAGTCTGGGATTCAAACTCAGCACCTTCTCCCTGAATTTTCCCCAATTAATTCACTTAATTAAATAACTATAATCCACATAAAAGTCTTGTCTAACTGGAGCATTTTCATAAAACCTGACTTTGAACTGAAGCTCAGAGCAGCATAGTAAACCCAGCCAGACGCCGGATGTGCTAACCCCTTAGCTGTAATGCTAGGTAGGCCATGTGCTTATTTTTTCCACCATGTGGAAGAAAACGGCCCTGAACACACGAGTCAAGCAGCATCTGGGTTTCAGACCAGCAGGATTGATGGCGTGGAGCAGCCAGCCCAGTCCCACTCCACCTCAGCCCAGTAGGAAACCAGTGGATGACGTCAAGCACGCTGCTGCTCAGGCAGAACCAGGAAATGCAGAGGAACCGATCGACCCGGGCTGCACCTGCCCGCCGAGCCAGAAGTGGGTCGGCTCCATGAAACTCAGACATGCTGGTGGTTATGGCTTCTCTGCAAGTCACTCAGTAAAACCACTGAATATAGGAGGTTTTTATACCATCAGCACAGAGGATAAATCTGAGACTCTCTTACCATTTAACATGTACAGATCAGGGTTACGGGAGAAAACATGGCTCTTTTCCTCAGAAATCTCCCTTTACCCTTCAGAGATTAAAGTCACAGTTTGGAAAGAAAAAAAGTCAGAATTAAAAAATTAAATCAAGAACCACTGAAGGAAACGACATGAAAACCTCTGAAGGAGACTCTTAATTCTTCATGAAACTTAAAGACGGCGTGGCGTCAGGAAACAAGCTATTTCTCCTGCTAGAGCTTTTATTTTGGCTGTATTTACCCAGAATGCCCTGCACTGTAGTCCACTTCCTGCTTTTGGAGCCATCTCCAGTCCAGTTGCGTTCACATAAGCATTCAAACCAGACCAGAGTTCCCTTCAACCGGACTGAGGCCGAGGTTTGCCTCGGTCACACATCCCCAAACGAACCGGACTTAGTCCAACAAACCAGAGTTTGGTTAAAGCGGACTAAACGGGACTGGTGTGAATGCACCCAAAGTGTTTTCAGTCTGACACCAATAAAAAGCTTCACCTTTAATCCAGACAGTGACTCCAAACATTCAGCCAGAGCTCCAGCAGGACGTTCAGATCAGGTTTATGATCCTGTCTAGACATTAATTCAGCTGAAATTCTCTGACAAGAATAAAATATTGCTGCTTACGTTTAAACCTGAGCAAAGTGGATTTATCCTGCAAACAGGTAAAGACATATTCCAGAAAGCTTCATGTCTGTGATTGCAGCTAAAGTCAGTTTGACAAAGTGCTGACTCAGGGCGTCTGAGTGCAGATGCTTCCCATGCTGTACAGGTTTTATTTTTAATAGGAGAAAAATACTAAATTATGTAAAACTTTTTGTTGGTCTGACACAAAGTTCCATAAAATGCATTTCTGGTTTTAAACGTGATGAACTGTTTGGACGTTCAGGGTGTCTGAATACCTCAGCAAGACGCTGTAAAAACACTGAAAAACCCCCACAAAATCTTAGCAAGTATTTTGGTCTCTTTTCTACTGCAAACTTCTCAGTTTTGTATTATTTCAAGTTTACTAACTTACAGGTAACTTGGCAGCAAGAAGCTTGTTTCAAGTCAATAACTCCTTAATATTAGTGAAATCGCATCTGTTCCATCGGCAGATTGTTTAATTTAAAAGAGGATTAACATGGCTGCCGGTGTGAATGCACCCTGAGTCAAGTCCTATTGGCAAATAAAGGCATAATCTGCAGGGCTGCCACCTTAGATTTTGTTAAACATAATTATTCCTGCACATTTTGTCCCACTAAATAAACATACTCAAATTGTACATTAGAGCTTTTTCAGGTTTTTAATGCTTTCTTTGTTGTTAAAGCTATAAAAATGCTAATAAAAACCAGTGGCAGAAACAGTGCTCATGCTTCAAGCCTCATTAGAGCAAATATTTCGCAACATTTTATGCATTTCCCAATAAAACTACAGTAAAGAGTTCAGCGTCCTGCTGTCTGATTTAATAAACCAGTCAGACATGTTTCTGTTCCAGCATGAAGGGGGCAGAAAAAAGGTGAAAAGTTAAGCAGAAACCACATGAAGTGAGGACAGCAGCTGCTTTACAAGGCTGATAAAGGCCACAGAGAGCCAACAGTGGCAGCCACAAACGCTGCACACTGCCCAGCGCTGCCCCGCTGCGCGGCGGCCCGGACGTGTTCAGGAGATAACTGCAGACGTAAACGGATCCTACGTGGACCGGCTGCAGCTCGCCGGTCCCTCAACCTCACAATGGAGAACAGATGTGCAGGATTTAGAGGTGGAATTCTCTTTCCTGTATAACAAAGCCCTTTAAGCAGACGCAATATAAGTGTGTGTGAGTCGGAGGAGTCAGGAGCGTGTGTGTGTGTGTGTGTGTGTGTGTGTGTGTGTGTGTGTGTGTGTGTGTGTGTGTGTGTGTGAGGGGAGTGTGTTACAGAACTGCTCAACAGAAAAACTCTCCTCCCTCTTTGATCAGGGTGCCGTTCTCCTCCTGAACTTGTCAGCAGTTTGGAGGAGAAAACCTGGAACTGGAGTTTGGACTGAATTAATGACAACATGGAGGGAAGTGAAGAAGCAGGTCTTACCTTCCCGGTTTGCTTCACCAGCCTGCAGGAGACACAAGAACAAATGTGAAAAAGCATCAAGGAAACACAAAATGCTCATTTTAAAACAGGTTCTTTGATTCAAAGTCCCACTGTGAACTTAGCTCTTTATGTAAACAGTGGGTTTAATTCACTTTGGGATCTAGAAGTAAATTTATTCTGCTGCTTCGGCAGTTTTTAATGTTCTGTTGGGACTATTAAAATGCAGATAGAATAAATAAATAAACTGCATGATAAATGAAAACAAACTGGATGATAAAAGTCTTCAGGCTGATGTTTTGGTCTCAACTTCTTCCTTTTATGAGGAATCATTTAGTTTGTTTGTAATTCATTTTATTTGTTTTTATTTTGCATATTTAAAATGTCTTCCAGTTCCAGTGTTAAATGTTCATTAGAATTTAAAGTTTATTGATCTGTGAGAATATGTTCTTGTACTTTTATGTCATTACCATTGCATTACCTGAAAATGGTCTCAAAACAGCAATATTATCATTTATCACAATAATTTCTGGAACAATTTATCGTCCAGCCAAACCAGGTCATGTCTGCATATTTACACTCCACTGTTGCCAATTCAGCAACTTTCCTGCTAAAACTGAGGAGTTGTGCTAAAAAGATCATCTTTCCAGGAAGCTCAGGTGAGATCAGTGGAGATAAACGCAGATGTTTCTGCTCACCAAATAAAAACTTTCTGCCTTACAGTTAATAAACTATTAGATTTTAAAGACAACACGGGTCATGTTACAGTTTCTACCATTCGCTCCAGCAGGCAGTCGACAGTCAGACCAGTTTCTGTTCATGAACATAAAGTTTATTGAGTAAGAATCGGTTTTATTTATTTTACTTAAATATATCATCTGTCTAATTAGTTTGGAAACCTGCCAACAATAGAGTATCAATGCTGGACAGAAATGGAGCAGAAATTAGATCCATCAAAAATCACACCTGTTTATTGTCAATGAAAACATGGAGGAAATAATTATTACTGAATGTTTGGTCGACTTGTAAAACCAGTTCATGTAAGGAATGAACTTTATGTGTGTTGATGATTTTGATGACATTTGACAAAATGTGATTTCTGTTATTGGTTGTCACAACTGTTGACTTTATGATGCGTTTCTGATGTTTTTTCAGGATTGAAGCACTTTGAGCTGATGTGCTGCCAAACAGATAAACTTCATTGACTGACAGATTGATTCAGAGATTGTAACCTCACATTTCTTCTGAAACTTTTAGCTGCTTTGTGCTTTTTTACATGATTCTCCACTTTGGTTAACTACCGAGTTACTCATAAGCAGGTGTGGTAAATATCCGTTGCATAAATCTGTTAAATATCTGTTTATTGTGATTAGAAAGCAACTTACAGTATTATATTTTCGGTCTTATTGTATAACCATTTTTATTACTTGTCCAGAAACCGCAGGTGTAATTTCGCTGCAATCTGGCATCAAATGGTGACATTTATGTTTGAGTTTACATTGTCCGTTTTTAAATGAAGTTCATTATCAATACAGAAAAAATAAATTATTAAATAAGCTTTAAAGTTTGACTCTCCCAACATATTACAGTTTCTGCTAGAGTACAATCAGGACCGGATTTACAAGGATGTGGACTGGAGCCAGTTTTGGTGCCCTATACCTTTTTCAAATACTTGAATATTGTTTGTGTTCATTAAAAATCCCAACAATAATGCAACTCACATGATTCTATGAGCTTTATATTAAGTACAAAACAGAAAACAAACATTTGGGACACCCCCCAAAGTTGACGCCCTGGGCTACTGCCCTAGTAGCCCTTTCTAAAACCTGACTGCGCATTTTCCAACATGTCAGGTGCCCGTTCACTTCTTTTGGGGGGCTAAAGGCCACTGAGCGGTCGCAAAGTTCGCTCTGCCTCGGGCAGGCCTGGTTCTCTTGGTTTACTGGAGCTAAAGCCTCAAACAGAAACATGTTTGTAAGTTTCAGCCCGTATGTGTGACAGGCTGAACCCACGCGTGGTGCAGTGTCAACACGCAGTGCACAGAGGAAGCAGTGTGCGTGTTTACAGAGGCGATGGGAAACTTTTAGAAGCTGCTGCCCCACTTCTCTCTGCTTTCCAGCTGCATTCAGTTCATAATAAACGGCCCGGAAAAGCGAAATAAGTGAATGAATTAACAAAAATCAAGCAGTCTGTCAGTGAACTGAGCATGTGCAGACACTTACCTCGTCAGCTGAAGTCAAAACAAATCCAACAAGCAGAAAAGCTAGAGATAACACAGCCATCACGAGAGGAGCTTTATCTCAACCTGAAGCTCAAATTAAAAAGCGCAGCAGCGAAAAATAAAAGAAAGTCTCTACGCAAACGTGAGGAGGTTCATTCAAAACGTATCAGAAGCGCAGGCTCTGATTATTAAAGGGGGGAAGTAGCTGCAGTTTGATTGAGTCAGGAGTGAGGCGGGTTGCGACACTTTGTCAGAGCGTTTCTGTTCTCTTCACTGAGTTTCCAGAAAGTTTGGGCGAAGTTCGCCGGACAGCCCTCCGCCGCTGGCGCACAGAGCTGCAGAGTGAGGCAGCCTGGAGCTCGGTTCCCCGGGCTAATAAGCCTTCAGACCAGCCCTGTGTGACGTGACTCTGCCCTCTCACCGAGCCCCAACACGGAGGGACCGAGGAGGAGGAGGAGGAGGAAGAGCAGCAGCACCGTCTCTGATCGGGACGTCACTATGTCTCTGACTAACTGCAAAGTTTCAATCATCTTGTTCTAAAAGTAAAATTTAAAATCCATTTCTGATTTCACTTTCCCAAAACTTTTTTGAGTGGGGATGTGTGGAGTAGCTCTCAGTAGTCAGTATCTTACCTGCAGCAGTGAGTAGTAATGGCAGTAGACATAGTCTCAACCTTTAAAATGGCACAATTTGACATTTTGAAAGTAAATTAGCAAATTTTTAAAAACCATTCACACAGTGCCTGTGTTTTAAATATTACATTTTCACTATTTTTAAATTAACATTGACACAACTGCAATGTCAAGTTGTTGGCATTTATGTACTTCCATTTTTGTTATTTTGATTTACTTGTCTTGTCTATCATGATGTGTGCTGCTGCCTTTCTTGGCCTCTTGAAGTCTTGATCTCAATTAGTTTTTTTATCTGATTAAATAAATGTTCAATAAAGATCATTTTTTTAAATATTTGTTTTTTGAGGCTCTTTAAGATGTGTGCTTTTATTTTTGCAGTTATATGACCCAGGCTGAAAACTAATTGACTCCAAATAATATAAAACAGAAAGCTGTATGTTTTGGATCTAAAATGATTTCCTCCTTCCTCCTGGAAAATGTTTTATAGTTTAATACTTGAGTAAATAATTGATACATGTCTCATACATTTTTGCCCAGAAGTGTTTTCAACTTGACAATTTTGGCCCTCATAACAACACATTTGGACACCACTGCCTTTTATGGAATATGTTTTAAAATAATTTATTATAACCTTATTTTTCACATCACATTAACATGGAGGTTTATTTGACTTCAGAACCACTGAAAATATTTTATATCATGTCAGATATTTTCCTTGCCTGAATGATCTGAGTTTCTACCACATTATTTCTTCTAATAAATAAAACAAAGGCAGTAAAATAGAATAATAGACTTTGGCACTGAGAGAAAATCAGTGGAGAAGACCTGAAGGATCAGTACTCTCCTTTACGGCAATCAAACTTATTAAATGTTAAATTTTAAGATTGTATGAATGCAGTGACATTCCTCACTGTCTTCATATCACTGTGCAGAGATATCAGCTCCATGAACCAGTTGGAAAAGGTTTTATTGACTTTTAAAGTTTGCTTTATTACTAAAAATCTTTTTTATTGTATTTTGGTTCAAAATGACCAGGAAAGTTTCATGAGCAGCATTTAGACTTTGTGCTGTAAAATAACAGATATGCATGAAAGCATCACCTCCAGTAAACAAAAATCATGGATTCATCACATTGCATTTGTGTGTGTGCATGCGTGCGTGCGTGTGTGTGCATGTGGGTGTGTAAAGTTACTATCTACAACACATGTGTCAAACTCGAGGTCCGCGGGCCAAATCCGGTCCCTCACAGCTTTTTATGTGGCCCTCTGGTCTCCAGATGTCAATCAGTCTCACAGAAATTCATGCAAAATCAACAAATTCCTGCATTTTAAATCTATAATTGTGAATTTATTGCAAATTTTCCTAAAAAAAAGAAATGGTCACAAACCCTGGCTTTGAGCAACTGCTAAATCCTTCCTCCAGGTGGCGGTGTTTCATACTTTTACAACACTCCTGCCTCAAACTAACTTTATGTCGGGTTACAGTCTGTGATCGATTCAGTGAGTGACAAAAAGTCACATTTGATGTCTTACATAAGAGTGACAGCATATTACAGCCAGAATAAAAAGGTTCAAAAGTTTCTGTGCTGTAGATAATGAAGGTGAAAGTTTCCAACAATTTTCCAGGAAAAACTTGGACATTTTCTGAGTTTGAAAAACTAAAACTTTACTAGAATAACTCAGAATTTTTTAGGTTAATCTCAGAAAATTTCTAGAAGAAGTTTGGACATTTCTGCATTTCAAAACTTTTTTATTTTCAGGTTTTTGAAACTCTGAAAGTTTCATGCGTTTTTTGCTAACAAATTTTTGACTTTTCACACTCAGAAAAAATCCAAGATTTTCTCCCCAAAAATTTTAAGTTTAATCTCAAAATTTCTGAGTTTTTCAAGCAGAAATTTTCACCTTTTTTACTATCTACAGTGGCCCTAAGATGTATTATGTTAGGCGCAAATATTGCAAAATTTCTTAACAAAATCAGTGATTTTGATTGTGAAAAAGCTCAAAAAACAACTGTGAAATCCTGGAGGAACTTATAAATGTAAAAAGATGTTTAAGATTCTTTAATTTGAAGAAGCACTTATTGAATAAAGTCAGCTGTTAACAGTTTCAATGGGTTTTTGTGAAAATGAGTTTGCCTTCTTTGATCTAGGCGGTTACATCAAACAGTTACAGTTTTGTGCCGCCGGTGCAGAGCTTGCTCAGGGATGGCAGTAGTTTTCAAGGTTTGAATTCTGGTCTGGTGTGAAGATCAGCAGAAAGAAGAATCTTCTCTGAACAGAAACGTCAACAACAGAATGAAATGCTGCAAAGAATTCTGGGACGTCTGGAAAACGGAGGAACTGGGATTTAACTCCTCAGTCGTTTCTGCTGGGAACTTTGGTGACGATGGAAGTTCAAAAAGTGAAAACAAAATGATTAGAAAATTAAAACGTTGAGCCAGACACGGCACAAATCCTAATCCTACCAATTATCTGTCAATCATTCGAGGGAATAAACTTCCAGAAAACTGAAAAACAGCCGAAACACAGAGTTCTTTTATATTCAGACTAGAAACCCACCTGGTTTTTAGTGAACTATAATAAATGAAACATGACCAACATTTTAATGTGTAACGATGGAAAATGTGAAATGTTTTCTCCATTGTAGGTGTTTTCTGTGTGTTTAAAGCACTTTGAACTGCTGAAATATGCCACATAAACAACCTTCACTGATTGATAAAAGACGATCACAGAACGAAGATGAGAAACTGCAGGTATTGTTGCAGATCAACATCTGCTTGGTTTTGGCATAGAAGCTGATTTCTAACAGAAACATCTTTATTGATTCGCTTGTTAAGAAAAACCCTTGAGGAATATGAAATATTTATTATTGAACTCCAGAAACATCTGACAGATAGACCAAACCATTAGATCTATCAGGGATCCTCCGATTCTGGACACAAAGTGAACTGATTACCAAACAGTTTTTAATTTCAATTCAAGTAAAAACTGAAACTTCTTTGTAATCGGCTGCTTTCCAGGAGAAACCAGAGAGGTTTTGGCTTCGTGTGGGAATTTCTTGTGGCCTGTTTATGGATGCTGCGCTCATTAAAACTTCCTTTCAGATCTGGCTCTTTCAGGCCAGACGGTGATTTCCACAACAGAACATTTTCCTTTTTATGGCTCCGCCGCCACAGAAAATCACAACTCTTCAGTTTTAGTTTTTCACTTCGCTCCAATTCGCTGTAGAGACGTTTTAACAGAGGCAAACTGCCATTACAAAACCCACAGACACCATAAAATGCAGAATAATAGGAGTTTGTAATTCCTGGTACATTGTTTTAATGCCAGACCTGGGTGTTCTAATTAAATAACCTTTAAAGGCAGTTAGTGCAAATGGCAGCTGATTTATTTAAGTTATATGAGCATAAAATCAACTTAACACAAATGCATGCCACACACTTCTGGTTTTTATTTGTAAAAACCAAAACTATGTATCCCTTGTCATTCTACCTTCCTAAGTGATATTTTGTTGTTGTTTAAATAATTTGAAAATACATTGAATTTAGCAACTGTAATAATAATAATGTGTTATATTCTGTTATGGATAACAAGATAGTGGCAGTTTTTGCTTAGAGCTAATTTATATCAGGGGTGTCCAAAACGTGGCCCCGGGGCCTTTTATGGCCCTGGTCTGATGTTAATGTGGAGCAGGAAGATGATGCAGACGGAGACGATTTATTACCAACAAGAGTAAAATTATTACCAGAATTACTTTCTTTATGGAAAATGTTAAATCTAACAGTGTTGGTCTTTCTCTAACTGATTGATTGATTGATTGATTGATTGATTGATTGATTGATTGATTGATTGATTGATTGATTGATAAAAGCTTTTATAAGGAGAATCAACAAATTGAGGCCAAAAGAATTTGAAAACTAGATTCTTTTCTTTTTAGACATCAAACCTGCATAAGTTACAGAGAATAACTCTGATGGAGTAAATAATAGTTACAGGAATAAAATCATATTACAAGAATAAAGTCGTAGTTTTATGAGAATGAAGCAATATTACAACTTTATTTTCATATTATTCTGACTTCATTCTCATACAAGTTTATTATTGTAATATTATGACTTTATTCTATTAATTTTTATACTTTATTCTCATATCATTTCAACTTCGTTCTCACAATATTTAGACTTTATTCTTAAAATTTATTTTTTAATTTTTTCTTAGTATAATATTAATATTCTGTCGGAGAAAATATTCCTTTCCTACAATAAAATACTAAAAATTAAATAATTTGCTTGATTTTAGTGTTTTCTTTTTTTGTACTGCACATATTTTTGAAATCTGCTCAGTTCAAGTAAAAACTTGAATTTTTTATCATGTTTTATCCAACATGACTAAATCAAACCATTAAAGATGCTATAATGATCATTTTAATGACACCTGGAGTTTGTCCAGATAAACGGCTGCTGCTGTTCTCATGTTTACATCCTTCGTCTTCCAGAACAGGAAACCAGCCGAGCGTTTTTTCCCTGTGCGGCTTGCAGAGAGAGGGATGGAGTGTCAGACTAATGGAGGCCGAGCCGCTGCGCTCACACCTGGACGACACACGATCGTCCATCACTGCTTTTATTGGGCACAGCCAAACGGCCATTAGGCGTCTGAGTCAAGATGTTCTGTTGGTTCTTCCTCTCCGTCTGCGGTGTCATGACACCGAGTTCCTCCTCGCCCCGATAAGAAAGCGTTCTGGTTCCAGGCTGGCTGTTTGCTGGGGTTTGAGTGATTAAGTGATCTCTGGGTGCCGGACGGTCCGCAGATGAGGAAGCCTGATTAACTGGCACCTCTGCCCGCCTCACGGCTACAGGGCAGGGCAGAGGAGGAAGGCGAGGATTCAGGGCAGAGGAGCGTATAAACGAGAAACCCTGGGAGTCTAAAGCAGCAACAGGGAGATGGAGAAGGAAAATGACGACAGCTGAGACACCAGCGGCTCCTTCTTGAAGCAGCGACGGTTGTTTAGTTCATGGCCGACCCGCT